TTGTGTGTGGGCAAAGCTGTCATGCACACAATCGGAAAAATATGTTATTACTGTAAATAATTATGAACAATAAAAATTGAAATTTACAAAAACTATGAACAATTAATAAGGAAAATATGTGATTTGCTGTACAGTTTCCAGAAAAATATTACAAGTCCCAGAAGTGCATACGAGTCGTCAAAACGTACAATTTGGTGACAGTTGGGAATGATACCAAGATTTAACAATTCCATGAGAACATCGCAATGTCCTTTTAACACATGAAACGGTTGTGCATTGGTCGAATTTTGTATAGTTTCAATAGGCATACAAGCACCTGTATATATTTTGACAATAAACCCCTCATTCACATTGTGCAACTACAAACAAGACATTAAACCTTTTTGATAGTAACATGTAAGTGTTGTATACACACACCCTTGTATGTGTATAGCTTTCTAATTAACACTATATCGTTGTTACTCGTCCCTCATGTAGCGTAATCATCAGTATCTTGAAGTATGAAATACATTGACACACGAAGGCGATCTCACCTCAACAATACAAATATAATCTCCAAATACTTCTTAACTGAATTACAAACTAAACTGGTACTTAGCTACATCAGACCATTATTAGTAACTGTCTAGGGAGTAACTGACCTCAGTTACACGTTTTACGGCTTCTATCCGTCTTTTTATCAACTAAACTAGTGCTCTAAAGCCGCCAAGGTCTGATTTCATGATAACATTCTAATAAAATTCAAAAATACAGAACAAGTAATTCGATAAAATTCAAAAGAAACTTGAAAATGTACATAGTCTTAAGATGATCAAGTAAATACCACCAGACTTTTATTACTATGATGGTTCTGCACTCTATTCTTCTGCGACGTTTCTAAATGTTCTATGGTTGAGAAAGTGGGTTTGATGGGCCCACTTCAATGTAAATCCATACTAATGTACCACAACTTCAACTCTTAGTCTGTCAGGATTTACTATCATTCTTTTTATATTGCTATCAAATCGTTGTTTCCAATAGCAAGCATAACTTATCATAAGGCCGTTCCAATATTTTATATTTGGTCTTTACCATTGCTCTTCTCACAAGATTATTTTTAACAGACATAACCTTGACTATAATGCCCATTGGCCAAACACATCTAGGAGTGTTGTCATCTTTAATTAGAACAATATCACCAACTTGCAGGTTGGGTTTTGGCCTCAACCTTTTCTGTCGTTCTTGCAATGAAGGTTGATATTCCTATATCCATCGTCGCCAAAACAAGTCTGCCATGTATTGAACTTGTTTCCATCTGTTTTTGGAGTATATATCCGTCTTGTTGGTTAAATTAGGTGAAAGAGATACATCTTTCATTGTTAACAACATATTAGGTGTCAGTTGTTCCATGTCTTGAGCTCCATCAGATAGCTTGGTAATTGGCCTGCTGTTAATTATGTAATCTACTTCACACATAAAAGTCTGTAAACTCTTATCTGTTAACAGCTGTTGTTTCGTAATGGATCTCAGCAGTTGTCTTATGGTGTGTATCTGTATGTGAACTAGTTGGTGGATTAAAGTTCCAGTTAATTTCCTTTTGTGGAAGAAACCCGGATATCTTGGCTTCATTCCATTTGTCTATCTCTTCCTTCAACTGTTTATTGGCTCCAATGAAGTTGGTTCCATTGTCTGATATGATGTATTTCACCTGTCCTCTTCTTGCTATGAAACGCCTCAAAGCTATGATGAATGAATCAGTACTCAATGACTCAGCTATTTCAATATGTACAGCACGAATTGCCAAGCAAGTGAAAATTACTCCATATCTTTTCACTACACTTCTTCTTTGCTTAATTTCAAATGGGCCAAATAGGCTAATACCCACTTTTGTGAATGGTGGTTCATTAGAAGATATCCGTTCAACTTGTAAATCAGCCATCTTCTGAATTCCAATGTTAGCTCGCTGACGACGGCATATAATACATTTGTGAATCATACTTTCTATGTCAGATATCAGTGCAACTGGTTCCTGGCGAAAACGTATCAATACACCTTCTAATGTGTTGGTTAGATCAGGACCTTGTAACAACTCCTTGTTGAGTGATGTCCCCTGGAATTCAGCACTACAATCGAATACAACCCTCAGTTTCTTCTTTTGTAGATGTCGTACACCATGATGTGGATTATACCACTTCTTGCCCTCTTTGCCTGGCAGCTCTTCTAATATGGCACTGACTCAGCAAAACCTTTGGCAAATACAGTTTCCATAAACTGATTATATTCCTAGTGATATGACGGATCTCTTTGTAATTTCTTTTTCAGCCGTTTCAGTCGCTGTTCGGCAACTGGTCTATTGTCTGGCATCTGGACATTTTCATTACGAAGTGGCAATGTACTTTGGCTTTCATGATTTCCATGAACTTGTTGTCTTCAATTGACCTCTCTGGCTTGTCGTCAATAATTCTTTCTGGGAATTCTAAATTGAAGTAATTGGTTAACTGTTGAATCAGGTTTTGTCCAACTTGAATTCTATTCACAACTGCATGCGAACTGTGTTCACTTGAGTCTTCTTTGTGACCAGCCCCTTTCAGGGATCCATTAACAGCCCATCCTAAAACTGTCTTTAAAGCATAAGGACCATTGTCTTGGCTGTTTATTACTTCCCATGGCTCAAAGCTTTGGGCACACTGTTACCAATCAACAAGCCAATATCTGCATCTATACTTGGTAGAAATACTTCTTTCAGGTATGACCAACACTGCATGTCTCGCTGTGTCAAAATATCCGCTTTGGATACAGGTATCTCACGCTGTGTGTAAACAATGGGAAGGTCGATTCTAGTTTCACAACCATTCAAATTCATGACTTCTAGATTCTAAATTGCATAACTGTCTTTTCCTTTACATCCAGTTATGGTGTGTAGATTCAGCTTTGTTTTGTGTCCACCAACATTCAGCTGTTGTCTGATCCTTTCAATACAAAACACTGCATCACTACCATCGAATTACTCAAATTATGGTTGTCTAGCTTTCAACAACTACAATTGTTCAACCAAAGTAGCAGATAAGTTCCGTGAATGAGTGCTCA